TTTTTTTTTTTTTTTTTTTTTTTTTTTTTTTTTTTTTTTTTTTTTTGCTAATGATACAATTATTTTTTTTATTTAACTTTATAACTTTTATTATTATTTAATTCGAAAAGTTTTATTTAAATATTTGAAAATAAATAAATAAATATTTTACAAACTAACATTTTAATTTTATTAAAAACTAAATTTTAAATAAATTACTAATCGGGTTTAGAAAGAGTTGATCAGATTGAAAAAAAAATACAATTCAAACAATAGAGTTAAAAAATGTCTCAACCCGACTCACCTCACCGGCACAGGGACCTCTAGTTTTATGGAAATCAGTTAAAAAACACAATGCAAATATATACTTAAACTTGGTAGTAAATAAACTAAATTTTAAACATTTAGAAGTTCAAAACTAAAATGGAACACGAAATTATTTATTCGTATCTCCTAATTTGATATATTTTTATAGGTCCGACCAATCAAATTTCTCAAATTCCCCGAATCATTCTTTGAAGTATAAAACAAGTTAAACCTTTACGAATTGTTTAATCTCATCCGAGCTTCGAGTTCTAAGAAACAAAAAGATCTAGAAGCAATTTTCCCAAGCATGTCTCACAATTGTCAGGCCATTACTGTAGAAGGATCTTGTAAAGATGCACAACAAAGAAAAGTAAGCAAAAAAACAAATCCCAATCAAAGAATCTTTCTTTTAGAAACCCTAAGAATTTACAGAATTAAGAAGATGCCAAAGCCAAAAGGAAGATGTTAGAGGCAGAAGTTAATCCACTAAAATAGGATCATCTTCCACTCTGTTATCATAATCCTCCACTCCCAACATAATGGCAGTCACCATTAACTTCCCTGCTTCAGGAAAATGTTTGTGTTGCATCAGAATTGCCTCTACAGAACCTACACAGTCTTTCACCATAATAGAGCCTTCAAGATTCTCTTGTCTTAGGGTCAATACTGCATCAAAACCTCCTTCTCCAAACACTTCTGCTGCTCCATGTCCATAACATCTGCTTGAAGCTTTGAACAAAGCTGTTTCTCTCAGGTGTCTCATTGTCTCTTCATCACTCCATCCTTCGGCAACTGATGCTTCATATAGTTGATTCCAGTCATCCTGATCTGCAACATTTTTCCAGCACTCCTCCAAAAGCTTTCTGTGGGTTTCACGAAACGATGTACTGGTCCAGGCAAAAATGTCGAAAGCCATCAATGAGAGTGTTGGGTTTTTGCTTTTGAGACACAGTTGAATAAGGCGATCAGGATGGAGGAGCTCGCAATCGAGCTTCTGCTCTGTTTCGATGGCGAGACAGGGATCTAAAATGGCTTCCTATAAGAGACAATGGATCAGGTGGAACCATCAGGAAACGGACAAGATCAAATGAAGAAAGAGCTTGATGTTTCTATGCTAACATGTTTAACGCAGCTACAGTGCTACATCAATCACATTCAAATGTTTTGGGTAGTCCCCATGCCTCAAAGGGCAGACGAGCATTTTTCTCAATTCTATGAACTATTTCCAGATCGGCAAGTAATTAGAGATGAATTCTTCTCTTCTTCAATCTTTATTAGTTAAAAGTGAAGTAATTGAAGTTTTGGTTCCCCGTTTAAGATTGAGTTGATATTCTCAACTTTGCCTTTGGTTCTCTAAAGCATAACATTAAGAAAGTATCGGTAGTTCTGTAGTTTTAACATCAGAATAAAACAAAATTCAATAGTTCAACGAAAGTTATGGAACTGTATATATCATATGAATATGATGAGATGAAATCATTCAAAATCAGAGCTGACAAAGATGTAAAGATTTAAGCAGGTTCAATCAAGTTCACCATTTCAAAAAGAAAACCAACCTGAAACTTGAGTATCTTTGCATCAGCCTCAATGCGCATCAACTTACTCTCATACTCAGTATTCCTGCCTGCTGCTGCTATATAAAAGAAATATATTAATAAGAATAATCGAGTTTCAGAAGCCGCCAATCACCATTAAATATCAGAAAAGAACGATACTAACATACATAGAGGATATATCTTAAGTGATAGAAATACTAAAATAAACATTTTATCAGTATTTCTTCAATATTGAATCGCATAGCATAGAGAAAAACTATTGAATCACTTTGGCAATACACATGCTCTTAGAAAGGGAGTCCATTTCTAACAGCAGGTGTAGGCATAACTTACAAGCAACATCTAATGAGGAATCCTGGAAAGATCGACTCTGATACTTGATATTTTTCTTGGATAGGATCTCTGATATTTAATGAAGTCAGCTAGTCAACTAAAAGATTGACTGGCGCATGAGTGAGGGAGATTACTCCCTTCATGCAAAACGAAGATTTCTTATATAAAATTGTTATTAAAAAAAAAAAGGTCCTCTAGCAACGCACAATAAATATGTTAAGAACTTGAGAAAGGACACAAGCAAGGAAATGTACAAAGCACTGCAGGAAAGGATAGGATTAATGCATGACCAGAGATGAGCAATACCTGCCATTAAAGCTATCTTTGAGAGGTACAAAAGGCGTTTTCGATCTGCCAATTTTAATTCCAAATTACAATGGTCAGATTCGACTTCTGTCTCAACTTCAGGGGGTGACTCAGGTCCATCACCTTCGGACAGAGCTAATTCGTGGAGAGTGTCTGAGGCGGAGAAAAATTGATGAAGGAACAACTCATGGAGCCACAAAAGATCTGGATGCTCCTTTAGAAATATCAAGAGTTCTTCATGGAACTCTTCTCCAAGTCTTAAAAGCTTGGAGAACTGTTTATTTTCATGAAGTTTTTTAAAAACAAAGTAGCTAAACCCTCCTTTAGGCCCCATGCTCTCATGCTGCATCACCATCCATGATAAACAATCAAACGCAAGCACCATATAACATAAGGAATAACATATAAATTTGAAAAACCAAATGAAGCATTGAAATAACAGAAAACTACACACCATAAGATTCCTGAGTAGCTCTGAATCATTAAGGTCACAGCAGATACTCCATAAAATGCTGTAGCATTCATGCTGTTTTGCAACAGCTAACAGACGTGATGAATGCTTCCTGAGGCTTTCTACCCTTTGCTCCACCAAATCTCCCCTAAAATCCTGCAAAACCATGTGTTTCAATATGAACTCAGATCTAGAACCTTGGTCACAGGAAATACATCACAAAAGAAAATAACCTTATGCTCAGCTTCCACGGAATCTTTTATTCTTTGATAAAGAGAGCTGAGGAGTGAATCCCTTCGACTCCAAAATTCATGTAAAAGACCTTCAGTTTTTTCTCCGCGCTCTGCTTTTGCAGTGACAGCTCCAGCATGTGACTCAAGAAGAACTTCAGTTAATAGTTCCAGGTAGCAATATAAATCAGATTTTGCAGATGTATCAAGCTCAGAAACTTCATTTAAAAGCTGAAGCATGAGAGAAGCAATGTGCCATAGCCCATTCCGCACAACCAATTGACTGTACCAAGGTGTTAGGCCTTCAGATGGAGGATACCATAACTGATGCTCATTTCTATATTGCACAGCCGCACGCATGATAGTAACACATGCTTTAGAGATTTCACAAGCTCTCTGGTTCTGGACTGCATATGATTCGTCTGCACTTACCACATAATCTAGCTGCCTTTCTAAACAATTAAATACTTCTTCTAATTCAGAAACCTTACTGTAGAACACTTCAGTATTATCTCTGTCCATTAGAAGAACAGTGTTTCGGCGAGCTCGCTCTCCAACAAATTGAATAAGATCCCATAGAGCACCGGACATTGGAGTTTCTGAATTAGAACTCAAGGAACTAAGTCCATTTGAACGGTTTTGGAAAATTGTGTTCTGCAGTTCCCTTAACTGAATCATCGCAGCAAGCTTTTCTCCATGCCCCAGGATAATTTGCAAAGAATTTCCTACACACCAGGACCAGAGTTTAAGTTCTTTAATTTGAATTTGAAATTCTATCTTCACAAGATAACCTTCCCATTCCAAGAACAAAAACTGAGTCCCAAATCAAACCAACTCCAATGTGACTTCAACCAATGTCAGGAAAAATAGAAATTTCTTGTCCTAGAATAAACATCTGAAGACACAGAAAGAGCATCTAGACCATTTATGCCAAAATAAAAAAACAGATAACAAAAAACATATATGAGGTGAAAAATTAACAGAGGTTCAGCATCTAAAAGTAAATATCTACAGCCATACCACAGAGAATTAGCATTAAAAATGAGTCGAAACATACTTTGTCTAGAACACAACTCTTCGTGGCACTTTGATAAAGCAAGAAACTGGAGAAACTTTTCATGCTTCTGCTGTTTGTCAATCAGCTGAGTAGAAACAACAGTCATCGACACAATCTCAGCACCTCTCGTTGTAGTCCAATGTTTTGCTAAAGTATCAACAATTGACTTGCTCATCCGCGTAAAAACATTTGTTTCATCCTCCCTATCAAATGCACCAGAATTCTTCAGCTTTTCAAATGAGTTATTCACTTGACCAGATGACAGAAAATCATGGAAAAGTTGACGCAGCAAAGCTTCTGATTCTTCATCTCGAGCTGTTCGATGTGCCATCCCAGACAAAGTAGCCTTTTTCCTATCCACAACATCCTGCACCTCAAGACTACCTCTTGTACTCGCGATGTTGCCAGAAAAATTGAGGCTTCTTGAGTCATCTTGCACAGATCGTTCATTTGAACTTCCCCTGCGTGACAAACTACGTTCAGGAGGTTCAACTCCACCAAGGACAATAGCTTTTACGGGTATTGCCCAAATTCCTGCTCTCTCAGTTAGAACAACCCAAGCTCCTTCACCATGCTCCGAGGATGGAAGAACTGAAGCATCTAATACTTTCCCCGCATCATAAGGTAAGTCAAATTGATACAGCAGAGTGGAGCTTCTGTAGTAATGGGAGACAGTTGCCGTTCCATCACCCGAAAGAATGAGGGCTGATCCCGAAGGCTTGCCCCCTACCCTAAGTCTCATGGAGAACAAAAAATCTTCATTTTCTACTCTTGCTTTTGGAATTATAACTTGTATTGGGGCTTTTTTCTCCAGTATCCTCTTATCACCACTAGCCTCTATTCCTGCCCCAGATTTGTATTGCAAGGTAAGAAGGGTATACTGTATATAACTCGAACTACTAATGCGATCCTTACAGAATGTGGCAACTAAAATGGTGATGACAGCGCCTTGTTCATCTTCCTGCAAATCAAGAGGCCAGATCCTTTTCTGACCAGCTAGATCTTTTTTAATGCCCAAATCACTATCTGTACCAACAATTTCATAGGACCAGAGCTTGGACACTTGTAAATCAGGAAAAAGTTTAAGACAAAAACACTGTATCTCATGATCTGTCAGAAGCAAAAACTTTCTGTTAAATTTATCCAGTTGAAGGTGAGAACGAGACCAAGTTAGAGACCTTGGATACCCATCACTCACAAGATTTTGACAGCTACCATCATCTTGACAGCGAAAACCACATATATCTTGAGGTACTTCAGTACATTGAATTCCCATAGGGCTGCAGAGATACTGCCAAAGCTGGCCATTTGAACTACATGCAAGGGCAACACAAACGTACTGGGAATCAGGGACAGCAACGGCAATCAAAGAGTTGAATGTACATGGTCTATTCGGACGTTGATTTGCAAGTGAAGTGCTTTTCCCATCAAAAATTGAAGTTTTTGATGAAATTGCCGCTGGCTCATGAGAAGATGTTAGACAGGTAATTGGAGTGCTTCCTCCATCTGAGAAGATATCAGGCCAATATACAACAGCTCCTGTTTTTTTATTACAAATTATAATGGCAACTGAGTTTTGGTGTTTAACTGACTTTCTTGAACTTTGATTTTGGCTATCCCAACTAACAACGCTGAGCAACCAATGATCATTGTTGTTTCTACCAATATCTTTACTGTCTAAAATTCTTTTTGGAAGTTCACGAACAACACATTTCATGGTGGCCACAGGTAACAAGTAGGTCCAAAGAAAGAGCTTGTCTCGGCATATAATCCAAGCAAGGGATGTCTCGGCATCCATTCCACCTGCCACGCTTGCACCACCTGCAAGGAAAAAAGCCTATCATGTTTCCAAGAAAACAGTAGCATCAAGAACTATAAACTATTTTTTACTGCAACAAACATCATTACTTGTGGCAAACTGCTGTACCAGACTGGCCTGCTCATCACGAACCACTTGGGGGAACTCTCCAACATAAACAGGCCGAACTGGATCTGTCTCATCTTCCTTATCACTTTTATTAACTGGTGAAATTCTAGGAAAATATAAAGAATATATTAAACATTCTCCATATTGGAGCAAGTTGTGAGGCAAGAAGCAAAATATAAGCGAATGAATGAAATGCACCTTTCAATTAAAACAGAAATTGTGGTCAGAGTTAGTTCAGGAGGTGCAAATAATTTTACGAGCAAGACATTCATATTAATACCATCCTAAGGGTACTATTGAGCCAATTCATAACACATATGTTACAAGCACTTTCGATTCGCACAAATCAATAGGAGAAAAAAAAAAAAAAGTGTCACGTTATGATTTATACTTGGTCAGATTACTTTTGTTCTAAAAATTTTCGAAATACCACTAAAAAAACCCATCAACCCACTCCAATTACCAGACATCGGGGAAAACCACCAAAAGGGCAATCCCCGTTTAATGATTAACCGTTAGATTTCATCAACTTGCTGCCAATAACTCGCACAAACGAACTTAATTACCACTGTGTTCCATGAATCGAACATAAAAACTGAGTCGATACTCTGAAATGAGTAAAGTTAGAGCTCTGACAAGCAATCGTGATTGACACATACAGCAATGGTGGCACTAATACCTTGCAAGGACTGATAAGCGAGGAGTCCAAGGAGCCGGAGTGCCGGTGCCGGGGCGGTTGGGGACCAGATTATCGAGCACTGGCTTACGGACGGCTGAAATTGGTGTAATAGGAGAATCAGACAGGGCCGGGGCCAAATTTCGACCTGTTCTGGAGCTTGAATTGCGTCTCTTCGTCCCGGGAGAGAACATTGCTGAATACTACACAGAAAAATGGAAGAAGAAGAAGAATTGAATTTCGGGGTTTAGGGTTTAAAGCTTGGAGTGTGAAAGAAATGAACGCGGAAAGCACGAAGCTCTGGCGGGAGATGGGAGTGATCGAGTGTGCTCAAGCGTACTGACCATCTGCGATTCGCCGACCCCCTTTTTTTTTTAATTATTAATTTGATTTTTATACTTTTTAAATTTACAAATATTTAATCCTTCTTTAATTCTTAAAAGTATAAATATAATTTATCCATTAATTCATACATATCTATTAAATAAATGGATTTTGTATTTTATAGATTCTTTGACGCACATATTTTTTAAAAAAATTAATTAACCAATTAAATATATAATTAAAATTTATTTCTAATAAGACTTTAAAATTTTAATTAATTAACCAATTAAATATATAATTAATATTCATTTCTAATAAGACTTTAAAATTTTAATTTGTGTCTAGTATAGTTTTGTATTAAGTTAACATAGCTTAAAATTAAAATTAAAAAATGAAAAATTTATAGTTCAGAAATCTATTACATAGAAAATATATCCAATAGTTACATTTTAAATAAAAAAAATTCCTCTAATTTTCTGCTCAATGAACTAGATTTTAATGAATCTACTCTTTATTCTGAACCATTTTATTGCCTCTAAATTCATGAATGAACTATTCCATTTATACCGCACTTGGATTCTTTCACGTTATTACAATCTGAGGAAGAGGAAGAAGAAGAGTAAGCTTACAAGATTCGGATATCTTTTATCGAAAAACATCGAAATTCTTCACAGAATATGTGCAGAAGTATACGTGAAGCCCTAAGTAATCGAAAAGATATCGAAACTGGGTAAATTTAGAAGAGCAAGCTAGCCCATGCACCAATGAAAGCAAAGCCACCAAATGGAGCTAAGGTAGAGTATTTTCTATCTTCAAGAAGGGCCACAGTATAGCACCTGCAATGCAAGCACATATTCTTATACATCTTTGAAACAGACATCCGAGTTCAATATGGAACTGCTAAAAGGAAACTGGAAGAGATTTCAATCGAGTCCACAGCTGTTCTATGCTCAATCAGTCCTACATACCTTTTTTAAGCCCTTTTGGATCAGATTCAATAAAGAAAGAAACGAAAAGAAGGGAAAAAAAAAAAAAAAAAAAAAAAAAAAAAAAAA